AACAAAAATTAAAATCCTTATATCTCGATCAAATCTCATGCTGACTCACGAAAATTTTCGGGAAAGGTTTAAAAGGTGCCATATGTTGTTGACCACGCCGAAAAAGTGGTCCAGCAGAACACTGATGCTCTGAGGTTTTTCAGAAGGTTTCTGGAAAACCTTAAGCCAATGCCCAGCTCACATTCACCTTTTTCGTCTTCGATTATGTATTATGAGCTGTCCTGAGTGTTTTCTGAAAATTTCCTTGAGTCAGCATGAGATTTGATCGAGATATAAGGATTTTAATTTTTGTTAGTAACAGGCGAAAAACCGGTTTTTCACAACAATGCCTCTGGCGAGGTTATATTCATTTCTACACAAAAACAAATGTTGCTACTATGCTCAGCCTAGTCGATTACCTATAGTCCATGGCATTTTGAGATTTCCAGAGATGTCTGCTCAGAGATAGACACGTGCTCGGGGAAAGCGAGCCCTGCCCGAACGACGATAGCTAGAGAGCCGGGGCTTGCATAATTTTGTAGAGTAACGTCCGAACTATCTACGCGTGCAAAAAATTACTAACATTGTACGTTAGTTTTCTGAGAAAGGAGCTGGTTTTCCAAATATCCTCTGAAAACCCGATCTCTGAAATTTTTTCAAAAGTTGCTTTCGCTTGTGAAAAGTTCTGCTCAAGTCTTGGCTATTGAACAGCGAAAATCACAGGTCTCTATCTCATTCCTATCAAAAGTTATTCAAAAAATTCCCACGGGTCTTGTATTTTGGGATGGATAGTAGTAATCTAGATGGCAACTAGTCGTGTATCGCCTGATTACAGACGAAATCTATCTAGATTTTTCCCATAGGTGATGTTTGCTTGGGTAAAAATGTGCAGGCAAATAAAAGTAGAAGCAGATCCGAATATATATATTAGTATTACTTGCTCTCTGTTAGTTAAATAAGATTTAAAGTATTCTAAAAAATTTCCTTCTACTCCTGCTTTTTATACTTTTTCCAACAAACGTCTATGAGTCACCATATCAAAAGCTTATGCAAAGTAGAAAGCAATTCCTACTACTATTTTTCTTTCTTCTAAAATATTACTTAACTTAGTTGTTATATGTAAAAGAGCGTCAACTGTTGACGAGCTTGGTCTAAAGCCAAACTGTACATTAGTAAAAAATTTTTTTCGTGCAAGTGACTAAGTAAACATTTATGAATAAGAAGCTCAAAACCTTTACTAATATTAGATAACAGAGAAATTGGTCGATAATTAGAACACAGATTTCGAGCTCCCTTTTTATGGATTGCTTTTATTATCGCTTTTATTCACAATTTGGGAAAAACTCCTTGTTTTAATGATAAAGTAAATAAGTGATGTAATTGCGGTGAAAAGAACTTCAGAGCATAGTTTTAAAAATTGGACATCAATACCATCGATTCCTATAGATTTCTTGTTTTTAAGCTTTGTAATCATATCGTTTACATCCGCTACAGTAAACAAAATTGTATTTAAAAAACGTTGGTTCCTTTTCTGCATATTAGTGTTGCTAGTAAACGGAGAAGAAAGTGTTTTATAAGAACTACGAAAGAATGCCAAGATCTGTACATGCTTGCGCAGCGTTACTATCTAGCCGACTAGGATAATCAGAAAAACTCGTTCAAAATTTGTTCAGGTTACACCAAAACTTCTTTGAATCTGAAAAATGCCATTTAATTTTAGAAAAATGTCGATATTTATCTTTACGTAATGCATCTAAAACGCTTTTTCGCGATTTTCTATACTCAATAGTTTTTAACAAAGTTTGACGACATTTTAACACAAGAAATTTTAAATTTTTTTCTTTAATTAATTTTTTCGTGTCCTTTGAAGATTGAAAAACTGCCCTGTTAAGTTATGCATTAAAATCATCTATTAAAATTAACGGGATATCTTTTTTAACATTTTGAAGTAGAAAATTGAAAAGATGGTCGTAGTAGATTTTCTTAGATTGAGGAAGGGGGTTTTAGATTACACAACACAAATGAGCATGGACTAATCTTAACCTCTATTATTATAGCCATAACTTCTTTTGAATATGCGGTTAGAGAGGGGCAAATGCTATTCTTAATATAAACAGCTACTTCTTGAGAGTTATGAAAAAAATCATTTCTGTAGTATAGAAAATCAGGTATACTTATTTCATGATCAGAAACGGTACTATCTGTAAAACTTTATTGAATACAAGCAATAGAAGGACTTTCTTCAATACAAAAACTTCTCAATTCATCAATGTACTTAGGCAAGCTCTGTATGTTATGAGAAATGATAGAGAGAATGTTTTTTGGCTCAAGTAAAAAGGTGGAATTAGAAGGACGAAAGCTACTTACAATAGATGGAACTGATAAAGTGCATACTTGCGGCATAAATACAAAAAATTAGAAAAGGTTTGATACACTAACTGACATCCTAAAAAATTCGGATGAAGTCCGTCATACAACATAGCTTATCACATCAGCGGAAGTTGTTAGATTTCGAAATGATGGTGAATATGGGCGAAATGTGAGACAGACAAACTTTCATATATTGATAATTACACGATCCAGAAAGAGAAATGAAGAAAAAAAGCGAAAGAAAAAAGTCGCTGAATCAGGACTACAGGATTTGGCGTCATAGTCTCCAAAAATGAAAAACTTTATTTATATATGTATCAAAAGGATAAGAAGGAAAGCAAGAGCGTCGAGGAACATAAATTGGTCCTTTCAAGAACTGTCTCCACTAAAACAGGTAATATTTCTTTTTTAAAAGATTTGCGTTTTCGAGTGTTATGAATGATTAACGCACACAACTAAGAAAGAGTTGGCACCTTCTGACAGTTATAAAGAACAAGAAAAAGATTTTCACTCACGCTGACAGGTTATACCACCTTAAAAACTTTTTCATTATTATAATACGGATTTAAAACCAAATATTATCGTCGACATGATTTTTTGATTTTTCTATTTATCCATGCTTAAGTTGGAACAACTCATACGACATTGCTAATTAAATCGTCACAGCTCTCATGTTTTAAAGAATCGTGTTCTAAATGTCACAGTGTGTCCCTTCATAAAAGGGTTTGGCAACTCCAACTCCGGAGTTGAGAATTTTTTTGTTGGAGTGTGATTCGGAAGTTCTTTGCGCTTTCCTGCCGGAAAAAGCTCAAAAACGTCCAGAATTCATACTTTTTTAAGTATGAAAAGGTTAATTTGAGCGAGAGAAGAGCAAAAAACGGATGAGGAATCTTATTCCAACAGAAGTTTACATACGCTAGCATGAATAAAAGATCTCATTACTATTTGTGGGCACAGCAACAAGAGTAATTCAACTGAATTCACTATAGGTCATGACTTTCAAGACTTATTTATCCATTGTATATTAATTTAATGACGTTTCGATTTTATTTAAAGATCATTTTTAAGATTTCAAAATATAGATATTCTGTATAAAATGCGTTTATCTATTAAAGATTTACATAATCTTTTAAAAGCATATATTCAAACACGAAATACTGATTAGCTAACTGATTATCGTGATGAACGTACGTTATGTGAAGACGTTAATAAAATTCAACATAACACTAATGTGCTTTTTATCATTAAATACATTTTTATCAATAAGCACTGGCCGAAAAGTTGCCAATCGTTTTGCTCAACAATATTTGAAACAACCTATGTTTTACAGGTAGTACAAAATCGGATATCGGGTGTTATACCTCAATCTAAGTGAAAGTAGACGCGTCTGCCAATTCATTCGCTAACAAAATTGGAAATCTGTCCTATTTTATTCTCTGAAAATTAACTTATCCATTTTGCTTTTTTGAACACTACTGAGAAAAAGCGTTGTTTAAAGTTAAATAAATATGAATTTATATAGGATATATCTGTTCAAGAAACGATACAATCATTCTTTCGTATGGCACTTTGGTATGCAAAGGATCGAGCATACATCTTTTACGAGAAATAAACTAAAAAGTCTCACTGTGGCTTCGATAGTTCAAGTTTGGATTCCACGGTACCTTTAGCTCTACGTCAACTTCGTCACTTTAGAAGTAGCCCCTCCAATTCAGAGGATGGGTTGCATGCGACATCTGTCTTGCATTGTTAACAAAAGTGTTTGCTACTACCATTTTTTTCTCTGTTTGGTATTTACCTTTGTTTTCTTTTCTGGACTAGTATGCTACTTATGTGATTGCTCCGTCCATGAACTATTATTCCATATTTTGCACCGTTCCATGTTTTGCGGATAGATAGAACGCAAAAAAGTATGTTACAATACCCTAGACTAAAACCAAGGTATCAAGAAAGCGTGTTTTAACGTGCGTACAAACGTGAATAAGGAGAGAAAGCAGAAAAGTAGTGATTTTATGTGCAGCAACGTCGAGTAGAGCAAAATTACTCAGATTCGAGCATAATTAGTCTACAATTTCAACAAAATTAGTCCAAACAAAGCCATAATTATCATAAATCGAGTCTATGGTGATGAAATCATTGTTTCTCTGTCTTTTCACAAATCTGATTCGACAAGATTGATTTAAGATATCGCAGTGTTCTACATGGCCGCAGGTGGCGTAGCTGTACAGCGAAATGTACGAGTCTCTGACATAGCTGATGAACCGCACAGGATATTGATGCCCATTCGGGGCTATGACGAAAAGCCTTTGGTATCACTCGAAGAAGCCGTCAAGCCACTTGTCTCGATTTTACCCGAAGTTTACGGTTATGTCTATGTGGCCAAACAAAGATGCGAAGAAGATCCTGCCGATGGCCTGTCACAAGATGAATCAGCGTCTATTATTCTCTACTCGATGGAATGGGAACCACAAGAGCAGTGTCTTTATTACGTCCTCAATGCAAAAAACTCTCCGTTCTGAAGATCGAGGACAACTGAAACCATGGTTTCTGCACTTCAAACTACTCCTCACTGCTCTCGCTCGATTCCCATCCACGCGTCATTTCGTTTATCGAGAAGTGAAAATGGACTTAAGCAAACAATATCCAGCAGGAAAAACCTTCGTTTGGTGGGGCTTCTCGTCGTGCACATCAAGCATTCAGGTAGTCGAGAATAAACAGTTTTGGGGCACAACAGGCGTGAGAACAATGTTCACCATCGATTGTAATTCGGGCAAAGATATCAGTCGGCATTCTTATTACCAATCCGAGGAAGAGATTCTTCTCCTCGCTGCTCGACAGTTCAAAGCTGTCGCCTGTTTACAATCGGCACATGATTCAACTCAAAGAGATCCAGTCTCCTATTCTACTTCTGCAACCAGTGACTCTCATCTCTCTGGCGAATAAAACATCGACTGATAAGAAGATCACAGACAATACCGTGTGTGTGACTTTAAGACAAAGGTCTCGAACAAGATAACCTCACTATGTATTGCTTTCGAAAACTTCAAATTCTCAGTTAACCAAATACTAGACGAGAGTTTCAAGAGAGATCGAAAACTGAGAAGCGAGTAGTGCGTTTCTTCGCAACACATATACACAACAGTGAGTGGCAGAAGATGAAAATCTTTCTGCTTTCGGTTGACAAATTGAAAAGCCTTTTTTGAAATGAAAAACAAACTTTCCCCACCACAGAAATCGAACAGAGACGTTTTTCGAGAAGTTCTTTTCATTGAATCAAAACTTGAAAATGTTTCATAGATGCGAAAATGGAACCGACCGGATTTGATTTAACATCTCTTTCCTTGAGGGTGAAAATCATTGGCAAGTATTCTCAAACAACGACACTCATGTATTTTGGCTCTTTTAGGCTTTTGTAAACTAAGAAGCTACTGAAAAAAACGTATCTTAGCCGCGTTCGTCAGCTATGATGGGTTCAGGGAGACTTATCGTACATGAAAGTGAAGCCGCAGATGTGTAGTTGAGTAAATAAATAAACTGCGACGCTTTCTCGTCCACGGTTGAATATATATCTGATTATCTTCATCAATGTTTGAATAACACAATATATTGAAAAAGAACAAGAGAAAAAAGAAGATATCTGTAGTAACTGCTATTTGCATAAGGTAGGTCGAATAATACATTCTTAAATGTAGGGCACACCTTTCATCTATAGAAAACCAGAATCTTTGTGAAAGCTATTCATATACTCTGTGACGGTCTTTGTCAAGTATTATCGTTACTTAATTTGTTCGCAGAGATCGACCTTATGATAAACAGAATGATTTATCGCATTATTTTTGCAACACTTATTCTGGTATTTTTTCCATTCAATCATGCTCGATCGGTGTCATTTGATGAAACCAAGGATCAAATGATAAATTTAAAACAACTTAATGAAAACGACACCAATTTTATGTCAACATTAAAGCAATATCGCCATCGCAATGAACATTCTCATTCTCTAAATTTACTCAGATTATCATTGAAACAGAGTCGTTCTAATAAAGACTATTGCGAATTTTGTAATCTTATCCTTCCTGTAGTATGTGACACGGTTACTTCAGCCCTCTTTTCTCGAAGAGATATTATATTGTATTTCAGGCACGCGTATTAATCGAACATAATCAAAGTCAGCATGTCGAAAATAGTGAGTAATATCGTTGTAAGTAAATAATGTGACATGAAAGAACTTTCCATTTTTCAGTTATAATTAGTTTTTGTAAAGAATTCAAATTAATAGATGTGGCGGTTTGTACTGGAGCCGTCCATGAGTATAAGGTAAATTTTAATCTTATGAATGAACTCTTAATAAGTGAAGTTTTATCACTTATTCAGGATGTTGCCATTGAAATCATCAAAAAAAGTAGTCTGACAAACAAACAATTGTGTGCATTAGCACTCGATTGCGAGAAGCAGTCTCACATACCTGCACTCCAGTGGAATATAACTTTTCCAGCCGTTCCGAAGCCGCCCATATCGCCGCCACAACCACCAGCAGTATGTCTCTATTTTCAGCGATTCTTTTCAACGCATGTTATCCACCTTATAATAATTCTAATTTTTTCGTTACTATTCGCTACGTGCACTATTAGTCATCAGATCTAAAATGTCAGATCAAAACTAATATTAGTCAGATGATTTAATATACTTTCAAAAGAATGAAATGATCATAGTGAAGCGTATTTCAGAAATGTAAATTTCTTACCTAGCCACGCATTGTCTGTACGCGATGTGTTATTAATATAGGATGAACTGATGAATATAGGGTTGTGCATAACTTTTTGCTAGAGAAGCACAGCTCCAACGACAAATAGCTTAATAGAGTTCTGCAATAGAGTGCTGACAAATAGGATTTTGCAGTATAACTTCTGTCAGACTCAGAGGAGACTGATAACACTAGTGCTCACAAACTAGCGAAAGAAAAATTAGTTAATGCAAGAAGTGTTGCAAAATGAAACAGTATTTGACATTCGTAAGCCGCCTTATTCTGTTATGATAAAACTTTTTCCAGTATCTCGTTAAAACATTAAACAACAATGAGATGAATCGAATAATAATTTTCAATTTTCACAACAGAATAAAACTCTTACAAATGTTTTGGATCCTTCTTACTCAAACGCAATAGGATACTTTTTCAAGAGTTTCAAAACGAAGTCCTCATGAAGTTTGATTAATTAAACTATCATTACACCCCGAATATAAGAATTTGGAGATTTCCTATCCGTTGACTAAATGAGACTGAAGATACATTGTCTTACTGAAACGTTTTAGTCTGGTTCTCCGAAAATGAATATACTTCACATATCTGATATCCATATTGATTTTGCCTACCAACCTGGATCTATGGCTGACTGTCCTCAGCCACTGTGCTGTCGATATGGTAAACCAGGTAGGACAGATAAAATATATTGCTTTATATTGGTCTTAAATTCTTTTCTGCTTCTACTAGCATCCGGTCATGTTGGAGCTGGTTTCTGGTAAGTCTTACTATGTTTTAATCAATATTTTGTATAATAAATTTCGTTTCCGTTTAGGGGTGACTATAGGCATTGTGATTTACCATTATGGACTGCTGAAAATTTAATGAAATACATAGCTGATAATGAAGAGGAAAGGATTGTGCTGAATAATTGTGTATCGAAATGCTAATGTTTTATTTTTCTGAAATAGTTTGACATCGTATACTATACGGGTGATTTACCTCCTCATAATGTGTGGAATCAATCTCGATCAGACCAATTGTATGCAACTGATACAATTACAAATCTACTGAGAAAGTATTTTTCAAATAAGATATTCTATCCTGCTCTTGGAAATCATGAAGCCGGTAATTTACGAATGATCCTCCTCGTTCACCGTATAACATAATTTATTCTACAGCACCATGCAACTTGTATCCAACACCAGCGATAAAGTCAGATAATATCTCATGGTTATACACGTCGCTTGCCGATCACTGGATTCAACTTGGACTGCCAGAAGACACAAGAGACAGCATCTTGCGTGGAGCATTTTATACCACAATAGTTCGTCCCGGTTTGAGACTAATTTCATTAAATATGAATTATTGTGCGTCAGACAATTTCTGGCTATATATAAATTCTACGGATCCATTGGGACAGCTACAATGGGTATGAATTTTCGTTCACTTCTGATAAAGTCAATAGTTGCATTCTTTCTATTTCAAGCTAATCACCTGGTTACAGTATGCCGAAGACAACGATGAAAAAGTAGATAGGGATAGTTTTAGGAAGAGACAAAGTTTAAAAAAAATACTATTCACTTAGGTTCATATTATTGGTCATCACCCACCACGATCGTGCTTGGGATCGTTTAGTTGGAATTTCTATCGCATTATTAATCGGTAAATGAAATCAGTAAATCCTATTCCTTTATACTTATCTAAATCTCTTTCAGATATGAGAATACGATAGCTGGCCAGTTTTATGGTCACACACATACGGATGAAATCATCGTGTTTTATGATCAGATAGAGAAGCGACGACCAGTTTCGATGGTAACTGTCATTGTACGATACTGAAAGTCAGCCGTGCACATGTTCTTTTCTTCATTCAGGCTTATCTAGCACCATCTCTTACACCCTTTTCATTCAAGAATCCTGGTTATCGCGTGTATTTAGTTGATGGCGAATACGAGAATAGTACGTATTGGGTATTGGATCATCATACAGTTATCATGAATCTGACAGCATCAAATTTATTGAATCGAACAACATTTGTTAATGAATACTCAGCTCGAGATGCGTACAAAATGGCCTATCTATTTCCAACTGACTGGGACAATCTCATTGATCGATTAATGGCCGATATTGATGGTGACATGATGGGTTTAGTTTATAAGTACTATACAAAGTCGTATGCAAACGGTACAGCATGCGATCATAATTGTCGCATGGGGCTGTTGTGTGATTTCCGCACAGCTCGATCAGAAGATACGTCTTGTCTAGATTTCATACCACCGCAATTGTTGACAGTGACTTAAACTTTTTCCAGTACCAGTATTGTAGTAATGTGATAGACAACGATCTAGAAGTTCTGATAGTTATTCTCTATAGATATTTCTTTTTCCATTTTTTACCGAGATTGTATACGTAGTTTTGGTGTTGTCTTTTTATATTTACTTTAAGAATAAAGTGATGGACGAAAGCTTAGCTAACATTTTGTGTTTCTCTGTAACTAGAGACTTTCAAAAAGATTCTCATGTGCTGAAAGTAGCTTACAAGATCCTTATAATGACAAAAAACTGAATGGAGGTTAATTGAAAATCCTTTGAATCGTTCACTTCATGAAACATTTAAATGCCTTATGCAGTTACATCTTCTTTTCTGGATAAAAATAATTAAAATGTTTGAACTCACAGTGCTCTCAAATGTGACATTCGCTCAATTTTCACCGGCTCTTTACCCAAAAAAGAAAACATACATTTCTCTATTATACACCATTTTGAAACTCATGAAATTTGCCACAAACTAAGCCGGTTAAAATATCTACACTGGCCAGTGTAGATATTTTAACCGGCTTAGTTTGTGGCAAATTTCATGAGTTTCAAAATGGTGTATAATAGAAAAATGTATGTTTTCTTTTTTGGGTAAAGAGCCGGTGAAAATTGAGCGAATGTCACATTTGAGAGCACTGTGAGTTCAAACATTTTAATTATTTTTATCCAGAAAAGCGGCGAAATCACAGCAAACTGACATCAAGGTACTTATACACTCATAAGGTAGTTTCATTTTCTCATGTGTTTAGAGTGGGGTAAATTTCATGATTTCTGATCAGGTTCTTTTCCAAACATGAAGTTTAGCCTATGGATCCTCGGGAGAACCTTATAGCGTGCGAATCGTGACAGATGGAACCTTGAGACTTCCGTAATTTTTTAGAGCGAAGTTCAGTGGTTCGAACCACCCTCTTAGAAATCAAAATCCATCTTTTTTTCGGGGTACACGGATGCTCAAGATGTTCACGCAAAAGGCACACCATTGTAGACACTTCTCGAAAATTGGATTTTTTCAAAGAACGATGTCACAACCTGTCTGCTATCTAATACTGAAAATCGATTCGAGCTAACAGATGAATTTAAATCGATTCATCGATCGATTGAAATCGAAATCGATAATTCATAAATTGAAATGAAAACATAAATATATAAGATTGTAGAAAACTCCACGGGCTTTCAGAATATGTAATTACTTTTAAAAAAATATGCTTCTATAGTGACGAAATACTCAAAATACAGAGTCTAACTATTTTTTTCCCGGTGTATATAATATACATCAGATGCGGTAGAAACTTAATCAAATTTGATTCGACTAAGTTTTTTCTTAGAATGGTTTAAGGTCTAGTAAGTACTTTGAAATATTCCCCTCTTCGTTCTCCATCTAGCCTTTGATTAGTCCATGAAAAATTCAGGTATGGGCCATTACCGAATTATAACCAGTTTTCTACGGAAGACGAAAAGATTCAAAAAGGGTATGTAACGCGTATTCTGACGGTCGTCAAGACTTAAAACAGGACGACTCTATCACACATATTCTCAGCACTAGAGCCAAGACATCCATCCTCTATACTGGAGGATCTAACACCGTCTGACTTTAAGATCTGATGGGCGTCGTGACTGCAAAAAACGACATGTTGTCAGGAAAGGCCCAGCTAGTGATATTTTCTGAGCTAATGCAAAACTGCTTTCAAGTCTACATCAGACGTCATTTAAACAAAATTAATTAAAATTTACCCATCATATCCCGACCTCGATACTTTTCTTTGTTTTTTTCCAAAGGAAACGTCCTCAAAAAGAAAACATCTTCAAACAGTCGGTTTCGGCCTTGCCAGAGCCTTATCAAAGCGCTTTTCAGAAAAAATATAAGACCAGCTCAAATCATTAGAAAATCGAAATAGAATTATGAGAGATAATTCGGTTACATGTTGAATGATCTGCACTCTAAAAACATACCTACGTCCTCCATTTAACCCGTAATCCAATGAGTCTTTCTACATGAAACTTTTTAAATGTCAATCAGAGACGAAATGTCGTTTGTCAGAAACTTTGCAACTAATTGTGTACAAATATACGAATGAAACAGAAATATAAGTATGTAAGTACAAATCCAGCAAGCACAATATCCAGTTTTGTAAGAAGCTAAAGAAGAATTTCATAAATATTCTATCATCGATGCAAGGAAGGAAGTCTTCTGTTACTGGAGGCGGATATGATACGATGAAAAGTCGTTAGTCGACGTCAATTAATGAAAACGGTTGAACTAAAAATGTAAAAGAGCATCCGCTGAATTATTTTCTTTTTCTACTGTGTATCGCAAAGTAGAAGAAAAATATGTTGTAGTATAGAAAATCGAGAATTACGAGACAAATATGGGTTTTTTGACGTCTTTTCCAGAAAAACTTAATTTTCTCAGCAATTGAAGAAAACTTAGAAAATCTGGCCGTATACTATTGTGCTCCAAGGCATGGCAGTTCGAATGGCGGAAGAATCAGGCCTATAGCGCTTGAGACAAAAAACTAGATAGCTTTTTGCGACGAGTCATCTTCTCAAAGTTTGCGTAGCAACGAACCTTTTTACAAAAGTAACGTTGCAAGAGAAGATCTTCGAAAGAACATAGGTATAGGTAGTTTGATCTGCTGAATCCGAAAAACAACATTACAAATCGTGAAAGTGGATTGGGAATGAACTAGACTCTTTTGTTTGGAAGGATCATTTTTCAGTGTTTTTTTGAGACCTCTCAGCATTTTGCGATTTTTACCGGGAAGAAAAGCCTTTTTTGAAAAACAAAGTTCATCACTGAATGCAGCAGACTCTCCTCTACCAGAACATATTCAAATGAAAAAGATCTGCTGAAAGTTGGTCTTGGTCGAACCTTACCTATTTAGGCTATATCAGCTTCGAATTTATAAGATTAAAGAAGCAAGAATAGATTTTTCCATGAAGCTAAAGGTCCGCTGCCATAGGAGACGTAATGAAATAAATTAAGCTAAAATCTTAAAAGTTCTATAACTTTTGAATAAAAGCGAATTTCAAGATTCTGTTTTCACTTTCTAGAAGTAAAAAATTGTACTCTTTCCGAATTTGATATTTTAATATACTGATTTTTGCTTTTTGCTTGTTAAGGGCCACTTCTGCTGGGGAAATTGATTTTTAAAGTTTTCTACTCGAAAACTATCGTGCTCTTTTTTTGAAATGAGCTCGAAGTCATAAAAAATGCTCAAAATATAATATCTGACCGGTTTTGTGCTACGTCTGCTCTGATTCTCAAGTTTTTTCGATGTTTTCTCCTTGAGAAAAACCGTAATTAGGATTTTTCTCCTTAACTAAGCATCCGATTGACAAGGCTCCGAAGTAAGAAAAGTTTTAAAAGTCAATTTTACATGTGAAAGCTTATTTAAATTTTTCTCTAACGTTCCCAGTTTGTAGAGGACACTTCGTATATATCCTGAAGTTTTTTCGGTTTACTGACATTATATGGCTGAGAAAAAAATTAATTACTTAAAAAAATATTGTTAAATTTTTAAAATAAAATTTTCTCCTTCTTTGATGGATCTGTTTTCATTGGCTTAGAAGTAGGAGAAGATATCTCATTTTTATTCATTTTATCGTGGTATCTATTCAATGTTTTTCGAATTTGTGCATATATAAATTTTGATAGACATTCATTTTTCATTGCCACCTTTTTAATGAACTTGACGCTTTGTCCAGCTAACGGTCCCTTTCTTCGTTCTTTTTCAAAAAACTATTACATTAAAGCTACAAACGAATCTAAAATTGCAACTAGATAATTAAGTACATTAAACATTTCTGTACAAAATGAAAAAATTCCGGGCTCTGAACGTTGAGTCGTTGACAATACAGCTGTTCTAAGTTACAAACAGCCCCCAAAATCGATTTTACAGCTGTCTGAAAAACCTGTCTAAAAGAGTGAAGACGAATTAGCGAAAATTGTACAACACCAATTTCTAGAAAATTATTTGCTCTGCGAGATGTGATAGCTTGTTAAGTTCGAAACTATTCTAATTAATCTGTATTAATCAAAGAAAAATCAGAAAAAACGGTAACGCTGTGACACCTTTGATCGTTTTTTTCAATAGTTATACATCAAGGTTATCACAAAATCTTCAACTTTCATAAGTAAGAATAGCGTAGAGAATAAACAATCAGTTTTAAAAGATGGTTGTGATGCATGGACACAAGATCGGTCTGAGACCACATCTTTTGTTTTATGTAATCGAATAGTACGCCGTAACAAAACGGAGAATGTTATTATAGTGAAAGAATTGGTAGGATTTATGTACACCAAATTGTTGAGTTACTACATTGAAAAGATATAAATGTTTACGAATTTTAGTGCAGTTGCGGCTGAATACCCTTAACTTTGTTTAACATAATTAAAAGTTTATTTAAATAAATAGAAAACTTATTAAAACACGAACATTTATACGGTCATTATCAAATGAATAAGTACAGTGTGTTACAGTGACGTAAACAAAAATAGTAGGAATGTTATAAATGTTTGCATTGTGAATTCAACGGCTTGTCGAGTTAATGGTCTCCATTTTCGTTCTTTTTCAAAAAACTAATGCATTAAAGCTACAAACGAATCTAAAACTGCAACTAGATAATTAAGTAGATTAAACATTTCTGTACAAAATGAAAAGTCTCCGGGCTCTGAACGTAGGTTCATTGACAACATCGGACATCACCTTTTGCTTGTCGTGTTAAAAATATTTATCTGCCAGAAGTATTAGATATATATAGTAATCTGGGAAAAAGTGAACTACGATGACTAGAACTGTTAAACATTTCTGTGAGTTGAGTAACGGTTCTGGTCATTCTGTGACAGAATGAATCTAACGTATATGCTTTTCTAAATCGTCTTCTCTTACAGATTTGTTAATTATGCTATACATAAAGGAATTATATGTATAGAACTCCACCAAACACTGCGAAACACTTTTGAATGTCACCTTAAAATTTGGATCACAGAGTTTTAATATTTGTCTAGAAATCTGTTCAACTGGTCTCTTATTACCGAGTTTGGCACCTTCGGCGATAATATCGCGTGCTGCATGTTTAAAAGTTTCATGTCAGTTTTTGAAACTCGGCATTGTTCTCCAAAACTTTTTTGTTGAGTCGTACGATACGAATGGATCACTCAGAGCATCGTTACTGAAAATCGTTCTTTTCGTAAACATTTTATAGTAGTAGAACTGTCGATTAAACAACGTTTGATTTGCCGTTAAAACGTTTGTTAAAAGCCGACGGTTAAGCACCCAGTTAACGGGTTATAACCGACCGTTTTTCCGATTAACTGGGCGCTTAACGTCGGTTTTTATGCTGTGTTGCTATGGTTTCAGCTGAAATAACCGTGGTTAACCGACGGTTTTCGAGCGGTTTACACAATATGGGTTATCACTGACGCCGAATACCATGTAAGGGGATAATCTTCAGATGGGTTCGACTTAAAGCACAAAAAAGCATTATTTATAGGTTATAAGATAGTCGAGTAAGGATAAGTTGGGAATAGGAAATTTGGTCGAAAGTGTGAAGAGGTGACGAAGACTTCGAAGACAAGATGGGCCGGATGCGGTGCGTGTGTTGTAAACTCACTGACAAATTGCATCACGTGCGAAACAACTGAGTTAGGACGCAATTTGAAAACGAAATCTCGTTCGACGAAATATTTTTCGACTTATTGTATTTTTCGGAACCCCGCCACGTTGAATGAGTAGAAAAAAGGAAAGAAAGGATAAGAATAAAAAAAACGAATAGCTGAGATAGCATGAATCTATTTGGGACAATTCTGGCTTTACATGCACCGAAAAGGCACGACGTTTTTGCTGTTTCATTGATCTCTGCTGTGTACTAGGCCTGTCATATGTTCGTTTCTTACGACAGAACTACTATTCATCTCAAAATAAGTGCATCTTCCGTTCTATAGTCATTTGGCATACCGTTTCGCATTCTATTTTGAAACGGAAAATAAAAGGCGTAGTTTCAAATAAGGCTGGACAAATACACTATGGTGTTATTACCAAATTGGAACATGCCTTAGGTCAACAAGTGCCTTTTGTCCATTTTTCTTTTTAAAGTTCGAACCGTTTCAAGTTTATGTTTAGTCATTGGGTAGAACAAAAATACAAAAACTTTCAGCCGATATCCTGAACCGGATTTGATATTGTTTCTGGTGCATATATCTCTAATTTCTCTCGAAGGTTCTCAGCACATGACTCAAGCTCGCTGCCTGTGTCTAGATCTTCGGGAAAAAATTGAATTTGAATAGCGTGCGCTTTTTGACAAAAATCAAGTGCCTGTTTCCACTTTGATTTCTTATAAAAGCTGTTCATTGTGTCGATACAGCTGTGCAGCATATGCCAACGAGTCGGCATTAGCTCTGCTTGATTCGGATCTAATAGTTCGACTGCAGATGTGTAATAGTTGAAGGCTTCTTCGTTATCTTCAAAATTGGCAGCCAAGTCAGCAATTATTATCATCATCTTAAAGATTAATTCAGCACAATCAGGAGAGGTTTTTTGTACGCTGGCAAGGATTTTCTTGTAACATCGTGATGCTTGTTCATAATTATTCAGTTGCTTGTACAGAACGCCCATTCTCGAATAGCCGACGCAAGTATAATGATTATTCTCACCGTAGATTGCCTTATACGACTCGAGTGCGTTTATATATTCTTTTTCTGCCAGATCATATTGCTTTCGATCCAAGTATATGTCACCCAGATCAATTTGGACGTCTACAGAGCCTCTCAAGCTTGCTTCATTATAGTAATTGGTTGCTAAGTCGAGCTCTCCTAGGCGAAAGTATGAACGACCCAGAAGAACGTACGTCTTTATCAAGTCTGGATGTTTCTCGGACAACAAGTGTTCACGAATTTTCAACGATTTCATGTAATACTCACATCCAAGTGCACATTCTGCTCTGTCGAGATGTACTGTTCCCATTGATTCGTACAAAGTTGCACGCTCGATTTCGCTCGCCTCAGAGGAGACAGTTATGTTTTCAAGTATACTTAACGATTTTTTATGGAATTCGGAAGCTCGATTTTCATCACCACTCATATAATACATGTCGGCCAATTGACGATATGCTGTTGCAGTACTATGATGATTTTCACCATATCCTTGCATTTGCATTTCAAGTGCTCGAGTCGAAAATATTAGAGCTTTGGCAAATAGATGTTTTTTAGCATATAAGTCAGCCATGTGTTCAAAACATATAGCAGCCATGCGCGAACTCATATTCTGTGAGTAGATTTCAGACGCTTTTGTAAACACCATCTCAAACGCATCGAGTTTCTCTCGTTCGGCTAGTACGGTGCCTGTGTTAGTATAAATACCAGCTAAACTTGAACGGTACTCCGGTAGCTTCTCAGGGAGTAGGAGAAGGGCTTTCTCGTAGAATGTCTCAGTCACATCAAAATCACCCCGAAGGGAGTGAACGTATCCCAGATGAAGATACACATTCATAAGATATTTACTTTTGCTGGGTGAATCCGCAATTTTTAAGGCCATATTGAAATATTCCAATGCTGAATCGAGGTTGCCTTGTTTTGTGAACGCAAAACCAATATTGTTGTATAAAGTAACGAATTCTTCATGCATGGACGGCAGAGTCTCTCTAAGGATGGTAGCTGCCTTCCGAAAGTATCTGAGAGCCACATCGACATCGCCACGGTCCATTGCCATGAGAGCTATGTTATTATGAAGAGCTGCTTCCTCTGGGCCAGTGAAGGAGTCGTCAGATAATTCTTCGATTTGTTTAAAATACTCACGCGCTCTCTCGTCATCGCCCCGCAGCTTATAAACTGTGGCAATATTGAACAGTACTATTGCCAGATGGTAAGAATGATTCGGATCGGTATCATCGAGAAGTGACAACTCTTGAGTGAGAAGCTGAAGAGCAAGATCGTATTCTCCGATCTCCACAACCACTCTGACAATACGCTTATCAATATTGATCAGCTTTGAAAACTCACCATAGTTTTTACTCAAATAGGATGAATGCTGGAACAACTTTTTGTACATATCAATTGAACGTGTCCATTCACCCTTGTCGGAATATATTCTTGCCAGACGACAGTAGCAGAGAGCTTTTACTGTAATGTCCACTTCTTCACGGAGTATTTTCAAGTAAAACTTTTCAGCCCGGTCAGTTTCACCAGCCATGACCAACAAATACCCAAAGTAAAAAAAATTATAGGCTTCTGTTTTCCGTTCCACATCCATAAAATGATGACCAACTTCGCTTTTCGCACAAAGCGCGCAATGTACGTGCCACAATTTTTTACTCTCGTCGTATTTGATCTGATTAATACGGAAGATGGTACCAATATTGAAAAGCACCTCTCCTTCATCAGGACTAGCACTAAGAAACGCAACGTAGGCAAATGAGCTTGTCTCAAGATTTGCATCGATATAGTATTCGAATAAAACGGATTCCATTTGCTCCTGATCATTACTTGGCTGTTTAAAGAGTTCGGCAACCTCTGCATATACACTCGTCGAAAGAAACCCATTAAATGAGATCAATTTACCTTTATTTGATTTCAACACGGCAATATCGTCATAAGCTAGACATGTACCGCGATAGACTGTACACGAGTCAAAGCCGGATTCACGTTGTTCCATGTGCAAGATATCGATTTGATCGGATAAGTCTCTGATGAACGACCGGTAGATGAAAATATTGTCAAGATTTTCGTCTCGAAAGGCTTGATTGAGCATACGAAATAAGCAACCAGCACGTGTATACCAAAGAATGGCATCCGCTGGTTTGTAATGTTGAGAAAACTCGTTCAAAAAGTCCATGTTTGCTAGACTAAAAGCAAAATGTCTCGTCTTCGTGAATAGAAAACCCAACTTTCAGTCCAATACTGACCTACTTCCGTTTTCTAAAACTTTAGAGTTCCGAAGCTGGTTGATCGATAAAAACTCAGCATTTGCGGATTCTAGAATCATGTTAACTCAATATATTTTCCGACCCCAATGATGTGTTTCAGAAAACCATCTATAGGGCTTATCACAATATGTGAGTGCCACAAACACGGAAACTGATCAAAAATATTTGCTTAGTAAACTATAGACCTGTAACAGTTCCAGCTCATACGTTCAGTTCATTTGAGCGAAAGATGTTGAACAGTTCTTTTGAAAGGAGCTGATATGTTTGAACAGATCTTTTGAAGGAGCTGATATGTTTGGACAGCTCTTTTGAATTTTTAAAAATTGAAATTTTTTGAAATTTTTCAACGACTACTGCTAAAGCTTTCACGCTAAAGCAAGAGCTTTCTCAACTCGAAGCACTGGAGAAGAACGGTCATACATTTGCGTCATTCTGGAGAAAACATTCAACTTTACTTTCAATATTGAACCAGATGGCACGTCGATTCGGTCCTATACTCGCGACCTCAGTCCCCAGTGAGAGCGCATTCTCAATCGCAGGCTATGTTGCTCGAAAAACACGGTCTTCTCTCTCAGCTAAAAACTTGAAATATTCAACGTTCCTAAAAGATAAACTTTAATCTTTTCTTTAGTCTGCTTTTCTTACAAAGATCATACTTCTTTTATTTTACTTTTTAACCATACTTATCTGAGGAATAAAAAATTGACCATTTTACATGCTTCTATTTATGATTGCAGGACTTCGCTGATATGAACGTCTAATGAACATTCGGGACGTTTAAACTTTGTCTAGACGACTAGTGAGCTGCTCGAACATATCAGCTCCTTCAAAAGATCTGTTCGAACATATCAGCTCCGTTCGAAAGAACTTTTCAACAGTTCCTATGATAGGAGTTGATATGGAACTGTCATACCCCTAGTAAACTATCCGATATGTGGGGTGCTCGACAATCTAATCTTATATGATTTTCACTCATTAAGAGCACCTACATATTTTAACAATTCAATGTCATTCACTGATGGCTCGAACATTTTTCGAGCTATAATATTTCTTTATCTTTTTGTTTTCAAACAAAACCAAAATTTTTCTAGTGTGACAAAATCCGCCTTTTTTCAAATGGAAAAGGCTTTTCCATTTGAAAAAAGGGCGGATTTGTATTCGACCGAAAGTAAAATCTTCTAGACAAGAACTTTCTTTTGAAGCAGTAGGGTGCTTGCTTTTGTTTTCAAGAGACGCAAAAAACTATTTCGGATATGAAGTTTTTTTAAAAAAAAAACAGCAGCTGAATGTTTGTTTTTGAACGAAAATGAAAGCGATTGCTCATTTCTTATTTAGAACTTAGAATTCACAGTTGTAACTAGGCATGCACCGGTACGGTTAACCGTAACCGGTCATAACCGTAACTGTAAATAACCGGTCGAACGGTTAACCGTAACCGTAAATAACCGGTCGAACGGTTAACCGTAACCGTAAATAACCGTAACCGTAATAACCGGTCGAACGGTTAACCGTAACCGTAACCCAGGCCGTGAAAAATGAGATAAAAAATGAGCCATAAATGACGCATTTATGGACCATATATGGCTCACTAACGAACCAAAAATGGTCACTAACGTACACGCGGAAATCAGCGTCATTAGTAACAGGATACAAAATAATCTTAATCAACTTTCGCTCAAAGAATCCAAACAAGATTGTATATACTATTCTTTCTTTCCAAATAAATTATTCTTTATTTTTCTAC